TGTCCTCCTAAGAAAGTAACTTTTTAAGCACAGGGACTCTTAGCCCTACCTTCCCCTGAAATGAAAAGAGAATCATAATAAAGCTGTGGCTCTTTTTCCTGCTTCAATAGAAGGAACTTTTTTCCTTTTTTGCACCAGAAAAGGAGAAAGGCAGTTTTTAGCTATGGAAATACTATTTTTAAAAAAACAAACTCATAACAGCCTATATGGGGCCCCTCCACTGGGTCTCCAGAACCAGCCCATTCATATTGCATCAATGACCCTTCTGAAGCTGGGGTCCTATGAAAGAAGTCCACGCTGGGCAAAGCAGTGGAGAAAGCTCTGTCCGGTTTTGGCACCGTACATTATGTGCACGCACAAGAACCCTTGTTCCCTGGGGGCAAGGTTCTCTCTCCCCCTCCCCTTGCATCCATCGAGGGCCCTATTTCTAAAGAGAGCACCTTTGAATGGACAGGGCAAGAGTGCTCGGGGGGCCCCAGCGTGCAGGATGGCTCCGGGGAAGGAGGCTAACCGATGCCACACTCCCGATGTGCCAAAAACCACCCGTCACAGCTGCCAACAGCCAACAAAAGGCCAAGAAACTTCACCCCTATGGCTTCGTCGAGGACTCAAAAATCAAGGCAAAAGTGAGCCAGGGAGATTCATCACATCCCTATAGGACAGACGATGGTCCAATTCTTGCCCTCTGATCAGACACACACACACACACACAATGCACAGAGAGACTACTTGGTATGCGTGGATAATATCACAGGACTACCTTACAAGGCTGTGGGTGAACTTTTATTCTGATCCTAGGTTTGAACACCTGAGATGCCTTGTTGCTAAGAATCCAAAAAGGTGCTGGTTCCAGAGAGAAAAAGAGGACACCACCGGTTTACACTAGTGTAGGGGAAATCCCATTAAGTCTGTGTGTCAAATTGTCATCCGCTCACAAGGAGCTGGTTGCGCTCCTGGACTCGTGTTGCAAGACGGAGGTTCCGATTAAATGCAACGATGAATTTCCAAAGAGCAAAAACCGATTCAGCGGAGTGGGCTGCATCAGAAAGCAATGGACTCATCCTTTCCTGGGTTGTTGTTTTTTTAAAATAGAGGAAGGGTGACTTTAGCCGTGGATCCTTCCCTGCCTCGGATGGCAGTTGGACTAGATGATTCCTTGGGGTCCCTCCCGGTTCTAAAACTCTAGGATTCTGTGAGTGTCCTTTCTATTTGAGATACAAAGCATCCCTGTACAAACACACACACACACAGCCAGCAATAGCAACAGGTTCATCATTGATAAAGACGCCCGCAACCCATCCAGGGCTTATTGCTGGGAAAGACGCCTGCAACCCATCCAGGGCTTCAGTTTCTTAAAGAAAGCAGAAATCCTCCTAGTTTGGGGGCAAATGGCATGAGCGAAACAGTTTTGTAAAAAGAAAAAAAATCATTAGGCTATGCTGTGCAGAACGAGTTTTTTTTCCCCCTGCCAAAACTGACTCTCCCCTCAATGCAGAAACTCTGTGAAGAGGGCCAGCAGGTTCTCTGCCTTCCTTGCCAGCTGGAAGGATGATGCAATTCCTCACCCTTCCCTTCAAGGACCAGAGGAGCGAAGAGGAACCTCCCTGCCAACATTAGCAATGCATCAGAAATCTGTGATGCATAAACCAGGGCCTGAATGTAGGTGCGCCTTGCCTTGATTCAGACACACACATTTATTAATCAGGTCTAGACGTTGTTTGCAATTCACATTTTCTGTCTGATGCACCAGAACATACGCATTTCATCACCAGATCCAATTGTGATGCATCAAGGGCATCGTTTCCAACAGCCGTCCCCAGGCCTCCTGCTGAACCAATTCACGTTACCTCCTTCACTGTTCCCATCATCAGGCAGGCAAAAGGTATACTGCCACTGTATAGAGAGGCTCTATTTCAGAAATTACATCACAAGGTGCATCCCTCCCGATATATTCCTGAACTGCAGCTCCCATCAGCTCTAGCTAGCTGAGCCAAATCGAGAGGCATGCTGGGAGCTGTAGTTTTTCAAAGCCGAGATGTCCATTCTGCGGCTCCTCCTGATTGGCCAACCTCACTCTTAGTACCATCGCCTGGGAAATGTGCTCTCTTTTCGTACAACCTTTCCCAGAATCTCTCTCCACCGGCAGGGCCACCAAAAATGGGGCCCTCCCCAAGTTTTGGGACTGTCTACAAACTGGCCGGCTGGATAGCTCAGTGGTTAAGTTCTCTGACTGTGAAGCCAAAGGTTGGGAGTTCAAATCCCCCACCGGGCTTCCTGGGAGAAACAGCCAGCCTAGGTGGCTTTGGGCCAAGCTGCCCAAGACCACAGCTAAGCCATGGAAGCCCACGAGTGCCAAAACCGGGACTCGCCCTCCGTCTTGAACCCAGGACCTGGAAGATGGCCTGCAGAAATTCAGCACCAGTCCCCTGTCCAGTCAATCCTGCCCTTTTCCTGGGCGCTCACTAGAGATCAGACCCACCGTCTTCTCCATCCCCATTTTTAAAAGCTTCCCCCAGCCCAAGAAAAACCACATGCCCGTTGGCCAGCGCATCCTCAAAGCCTCTCCCCAGGCGGAAGGCATCGGATTCCCAAAACCTGCCCCAGTCGGAATCAATCACCGTTTCACCCCCTTGCCATTGTCTCATGTCCTCCGAGCCACAAGACCCCCTTTTTTTGGGGAAAGGCGCTGCCGACCCCCCAACACCTTCAGAAACCATCCAGTCCTCACTGTTTCCCCCAAAACACCTTCGCCAACAAACCGACAGCAGCCAAGATTTGGCGGAAGAGAGAGGGAGAGGCCAAATCCGTGGAAGACCCAACTTGAGCCGATCCACTGAAATCGGTGGGACGGATCCTGAGCCCTGTGAATGTCGGCGCATCCGTTGGCGTCAGGGCGAGAGCTGGATGTGAGCCGAAGAGAGCAATCCGGCGTGTTTATGGGAAATCAGCACAAAACAAACCTTCGCCATTGATCGTTGTTTATGCCAAATGAGCTCGGGAGCAAAGCCACCGCATGCGGCCCACAACCCCGCACAAAGAGTAGGCTGGATAATTATGCTCTAGAGGAGTCTAGGGGAACGGTCGCCGTTGACAGGTTTAGCAACTATAGTTTAAAAAATCACCCCATAAGCTATTTTTAGGAGGGTGGGAGGTTTAAGAAGGAAGGGGGAAGGGAATGTGTGATGATTTCAACACTCCTTCCGCAGGCGTCAGCAAGGAGAGCTTCACTGGATCAGAATGGGGGGCTCCAAGCTTTGCACAGATCAGATCTGGTCTGGACTGCACCTCCCTGGCTGTGCTGGTTGAGGTGTGCTGGGTTTTGTAGTCAAAAAAAAGCAAGCTTTCTTGTGCTCTCTGGTGGGGGGGGTTATTGATTCAAGCGAACGATATCTAAATAGAGGCTTTGATGAAAGTTTGCATGAGTGGAGCTCAGCCGTTCTCGCTCACTGCTCATTCTCATCTTCCAGCCGTTGTGGGATACACTGCGCTTGAGCATGGAAGCTCCATTGAAACCTGTTAGGGCTAGCATCCCTGGGTGGATATCTCCTTCGGTCAAACTGTCTAGGTCTAGTGACTTGGTTAACCCATAGTATGTCTCGCCCAGCCCTGGAGATCAATCCCCCCCTTTTTTAAAATGCACCCCTCAATATCTAGTCACCATCAAGAGCGTAGCTGAGCCCTCTCTCCCTCTTTGACAGCAATGTGGGAAATGATGAGATGTTCTCCGGACAGACAGCCACCCCACGGCCAAATGTGGGGCGTGTCCAGGCAGTTGCTCTGTTATCCGACTACAACCGGTGAAGAATTTGCAAAAGGCCACTGCCAATCTTTGGTTCTTGGCCCAGGAGGCCAAAGGTGAGATGAGAGGAAACAAGACTTAGGCTTCAGAGGGAATCAGTGGCAGAGGAGATGCGCCCCCCCCAAAGGGAAGCAGGGACCCTCCTTTCGAGGAACGCCCGGCCAGCCTTCCATAGGAGATACCCCTGCGACCCACATATGCCCACGCTTCCTTCCCCATGATCTCCAGCTCACCCGGGTCAAAGGCTGGTGGCCCCCCAAAAACCTCGATGTCTGGTGGTGACGGAAGGCTTGCACCTTTGCAGGAGCAACCGGTCTCCCTTTGGCCCTCGAGAGAGACCAGGCTGGAGGTGTCACTCAGGAGGACCTCCAAAAAAGGCCAACAGACTGGGCTGCGGAGTAGAGCCCAGAGGAAAGAATCCCCAGCATCAAGGGCAGCTTTAAGGGGCTACACGGGATTCTTGGGCGGGATTCGCAGAGGGAACCAAGAGGATCCCTTCAGTGGGCTGCCTGAGCCCGTTTTGCTCGCCTACACCCGAACAGAAAAGAGGAGGGCATCTGGAGCTGGTTGGACACCAACGCCCATCATCCCCACCTAGAGTGGCAGGTCTCCACTATCCTCTTAAGCAGTCTTTCTTCCCCACCAGCTGTTCATTTTTTAAAAATGATTGCCTAGGATTGAACTGCCCGCTCCACACCACCCTGCTGGCCGCAAGGGGTGTGGAAGCGATGGGCGTTGTAGTCCCGATTTGTGGGAACCACCTGCCAGGTGGGGGCCCATCCTGCCTCTCTCTGCTTCCAAACGCGAGGCGAGCCTCGCCCACTTTCAACCGCTTCGATTCTCTCCAGCCATCGGGGCACGTCGAGGCGCGCATTTACTCTCCGGGAACTCAGCCGGCGGGCGTCTATGGCCGGCTGAACGGCGTCTCTTTGCAGCCTAACACAGCTGAGCGCACGCGGCTATTCAAGAAAACGCAGGGACGCAACCCAACTGCCCCCCCCCGCAGCTTGCCAACATCGACCGTGCCTCGGTTACACAAGCCAGCTCGCTCGGAGTTTTCCATCTGGAGGGAGGGGGGTAAAAAAAACATTCAACCCCCCCCCAAAAAACCACGATCCTTTAAGCCGCTTCCTTTCCCTCCACGGCAGCCCAAGGGGGTGGTGGTGTCCCCGGGGAGAGGTTGCCCCCGAGCCCGGCTTCCCTCGATTCCAGGGGGGGGGGACCCACGGATCCGGCTGCGGCAGAAGATTTCCCCCGCGGAGAGAGTCCGGGAAAGAGTGGGTCCCGAATTCCTCCTCCCCACTTTGGCAGGCGATCGGGGAGGAAAGGAATCGCAACGCCGGAGAAAAGGTGGAAGAAAAGCGAGGAGCACCGCAAGAAGCGCCGCGTTACATCGCCAGCCAGCAAGAACTGAGTGCAGCCAAAGGGAGGAAACGGGAGAGAGAGAGAGCGCATGGATGCGCGGGGCTCTCTCTCT